TTTTTTTTTTTTTTTTAATATAATGGCCCATATTATTATTCTGGTAACAGCTTTACTGAGGTAGATCACACACCATTCAATTCACTCGCCTAAAGTCAGAGCTGAGAAGCACCTGAACTGTGGCAGGTCATCATGCATAAGTAGAACTTCTACTGCTCCACAGATGGGAACTAGCCTCTAGGGAGGCAGTAGGTGCTTTTCTATTCTACTTTAACAAGGCCTTTCTCGGGAAAATGGGTCTAACTGATGGCTATGGTCATTCCTGGCATTCTGAACTGGCCTCCCACTGACTTTTTTTGGCCAAGAAAGAATTTGTTTTAGGTTACCCCAATTATGTTGTTGTGCATCATCTAAGAATAGACAGACCAAACTTCCCCAAAGAATGTCAAAACCACCCTGAAGGTGACTCTACATTTGTGGAAATGATTCAAACCACATTTGCAAGAATGGGATGAGAAGTGAACTGTTGAACAGGGCCAAAGAGATCAATTAATAAAACAGCTGAAAAGGTGGCTTTGGAATAGAATGAGCTTCCTGATACCAGAAGTATTCAAGAAGAAGCTGGGCAGCCAGTGTCAGTCACTAGGTGGAAGGTACATGTCCCACTTATTCATTCAGCCTGAAATTACTGAGCAGGTCCATGCAGTAGTGGTTGGTGAGACAAGGTCTGAGTGTGGCTCTTGACTTGGCGGCCCTGGCCTGGAGGGGGCTCCATCTAGGTTTCAAAAGGGCTATATATTAGGTCACTGGGCTGCGTGCAAAGGCCTACTTTTTCCTCAGACTCTAAGAAGGGTAAGTGACCTCAACATTGGTTATGAACTTCTGTTCTGAAGGAAGAAAGTGTAAATAGATAAATGGAACAATGTCATGCGTATTCAAAATTACTGAAATTGAAATAGGTTTGAAGGAAGCTGACTAAGGTAACTATTGGCCCTTCCTAGTCTTGAAGCTATGGAGAGCTCTGCACCTCTCTAACAGAGAGCTGTGTGTCTTGGTGTAGAGGACACCATACCTGTCAGGATGGTGCGCCGTTTGCACTGCTCTTCAACTCCACCCTGTCTTTTCCCAGTCTGAGTAAAGGGCATCTCGAACATGAAGCGGCGAATATTGTGTGATCTTTCAAACTCTGTCTTCCTTTCTTGCAATTCTTTTTCATCAAAGAATGGTGTCACATGAGTCACCTGGATATAAGCATACTTGGAATCCAGATCCTTAGGATTGACCTTTAAATAAACAAGCAAGATTGAAGATTGGAGCTATTTGAAGGGATCTCAAACTCAGCCTAAGTTGTATTTTCCAACTTTTACTTACATTTTTGGAAAATTCAGAAAAGCTGGGAAAGTACTATAAGAAGCACTGACATACCCACCACTTAGATCAACAGTTCCTAACATTCTGCTATATTTGTTTCAAATATACACATATTTATATAAATATGTATATATACACACACACGTACATAACATACAGATGTATACTATCATGACAAGTAGCCAGTTTTTCCTAAAAAAGAGAACATTCTCCTCTATAATAACAATGTGTTATCACATATCTAACAACACTAACTCTCTAATAGTACCCAATACTCAGTCTACACTGAAATTTCCTCAGGTGTGTCCAGAATGTTATTTTAAGCTATTTGTTTTGAACCAGACCCTAAACAATGATCACATGTTATATTTAGTTGTCTTTTATTCTTGGTTAGTCTAGCATTCCCCACTCTTTTTCACAACACTGAATGCTTTATAGCAATCCTGCTAGTTTTAATGTTCAGTGACTTCCAGTCTACATTTCTGATTGTTTCCTAAAAAGCATTTTAATATATCTGGCTTAGAGAAAAATGTTTATTTTAGGAATAATGATCAAGAGTCAGGCCCCCAAAATATTGTTAATCTATAGACAGATCAGATTAGATGAAAATAGCTACAGATTAATTTAATATAGGTACAAATTAATGTAAGATTAATTTAATGCTGTTTGGCTTCTGATGAACTCAGCACACAAATACTCTTAAACCACCATTGAGAACAGGAAGTGCTCTATTTCTGTGACATGAAAGAAAATTAAACACAGGCATTTTCCATAGAGAAACAAAAACTATTAGGAAGACAGATCACTTTTGCACATCTTAATTTTATTTAACCTTTGAGAGCAGTACAAATGGACAAAGAAGAAATTACTGTGCAGAGAACTGGGAAGACTATCTTGACTTACAGGCAAGCAAATGAATGAAAATAAGATGTTTTCAAGGATTTCCTAACAGAAATGCTTGTCAAGAAAAATGAAAAATAGATGTGAAAATGCTTTTAAGTTTAGAAGGTAAGAAAATACATAAAGTCCTAGGAATATAATGGCCAACCATTATATAATTGTGTTTGAACCTACGAAATTGGACTTCCTTCAGCAGAAACAATTTAAAGGTAGTGGGAATGGTGCCTTCTTGTCTGATTTTCAGTAATATTTCCCTATTTTCTTTTCTTTTTTTTTTCTTTTTCGAGTACTGGGGATTGCATCTAGGGCCTTTGCACTGAGGTACATCTCTAGCTTCTTTTATTTTTATTTTTTATTTCAAGTAGGGTTTTGCTAAGTTTCTCAGGCTGGACTCTAACTTTCAATCCTCCTGCCTCAGCCTCCCAAAGTGCTAGGAGTATAGGTGTGTACCGCCAGGCCCGATATTTCCTTACTCTTCATGTTCAAAGCTGTATGCATATACCAACAGCAGGAATGGAGCACTGGTGTTTGTTGGAGGGCAGGATCCTGTAACTCAACTGCATATCCAGGACTACACAGTAAAAGGGGAAGAATGATTGAGAATCTGGATAATAATTATAGCATGAAAGTCACCAGGTGAGTCAAACAAATGTTTTGGTTTCAGAGAAAAAGGCAAACTAGATCTTGGTCTATGGAGTAAGCGGGTGTTAATAAAACTGTGCTGATATTTCCAGTTAATGTGTACTGTTATTCTCTTTTCCTTTGTGAACTCTGTGAAGGACCCAGGAAGAACAGCAGACAGTAGCAGATGGGGGATTGTAATGAATTCTTGGAACACAGGTGCATGGAGTATGCCACCTAACTCAGTGGAGTGGAGAGAATGCTAACCAATGACTCCAAGGTTGGGTACTGCACAGAAGTCAGCGCATCCTTCAAAAACCCACAGAGGACCAGCACTTGTAGCCCCTAAAATTAGGACGATCATGTGGGATAAAAAGCCAGGCTAGTGGTCTGCAGTTGGCAAATGGAGTTGGGAACTCTGGGTTCTATTTCCTAATCTCTCCTCTAACAGAGAGCAGAGGTTGTCCTCTGGAGAAACTGATCTGGAAAAACTTGAAGCAGGTCCATTAGTTTTGGCAGAGAGCAGGGACAATGTACTAGCAGAACAATGAGGGTAAGTGAGAGACTAGGCCAATATGAGGCCTTTCCCTCCTCTCCTATGTTGCTTCCACAACCCAACAGTCAGGTATTTACTCTCTGCCTGTCTTGTCCCCTGCTGACTCCCTATCTGTCCACCTGGAAAGGAGATGGAGGACTTGTGGAGGAAATGAGTGTCCCTAAGGAAACAGATCCCAGACTCTAGGGAAACTCAGGGAAAGCTCAAGAAGGAAGAGGAATTGTGGACCACTCTAAAACAGTGTCCTTAGAGGTAGAGAGCTAAGTTGAGAATTTTTAATGTAAAGAACAGGAGTGCTATCTCTGCTTCAGATCTGGGAAGCAGTGGGACACCCAGATTCCTGGAGATGTTCTAAAGACACATAACTACACAGGACAATGTGCAGATTCATGTAGTATCATCATGAGAGCCAAACAACTGAGAAAACCTGCCTAAACACAAAATGGACTTCATTCTTACAGTTGTGCTTGCTACTGAGTTCATTCGTTGGTCTGTCCATCTGTCTACCCATCTGTCCATATATCCAACTACCAGTGACAGAGAGTTAAGTCATGTGTGCTGTGTCAAGTGCAAGAGAAAAGGGGAGTAAGAATAGAACCTTGGACTATACTCTTTTAGAGTATCTAACTGCCAGGACTAAAAATAGTACAGTACATCAAAAATTAAGCAATGAAGATATGCTTAATGTCAGGTATGTAATGGAAAGCATAAAAAGGTACTAAGAGGAAAAAAATATACTGCCACTCAAGGCCAACTGTTCTTACAATTTTTCTGAGATTTCTTTACTATACACAATTACAAATATACAATATATTACCAATCATATGTAACCAATCAAAACAACAGTAAATTGCTATGAAACATCCAAATTTGGTCATACCTTGCCAGAATCCTGTATCATTTTGACATTTTCAGAACCAAATTTATCTGAATAAAGTTTAAGGAGTCGCTGAGAAATTTCTGACAGAGGTGTGAGTTTGGGTTCTTTGTAAATATATTCCTTTCCATCTTCATCTTCAAAAAATCCCTGTGATGTAAAGCATAATTAGAGTTGCCCTGACTATAAGCCCCAGCCTTAATACCCAGGAAGGGCTCTTTTGTTATGGGGTGGGGGGGGTCAGGGGAAGAAAAGGAATTCTTCTAAAATAAAATCCTACTTAAATAGGCTGTCCAAAAGGAAGGAAAATGGTAATAATGTGGTCTGAGTGCAAAGGTAAAGGACAAACACAAAATTGCAAACTTATTCAAGAATGCTGTCTTTAAGTATTGAGAAAATGAAAGATCTGGAATTCAAGACTGTGCCCTCTCAGTGATTTCTAATGATGGGAGTCAAGCCTGTTTCACATTCCCAGGAAGCAGAAGTCACTAAACACTGACCATACAGCTGCCTGCTATAGGCAGGCCTCAGAAGTGCACATGCGTCCTTCTCCTGACCACTCCCATTTGCAAAGCATGAATAGAAGTATTCAGGTCTGGAGTAGGAGTAGCGAAAGCTACATGAAGTTCGAGAAAATTCTATTTTACTCTACTGATGAGGAAAAATTAATATTAAAGGCCTGAAGCACAATATCAGAAAATATTTTCATTATTACTAGTAATTATGTTTTAGCACCCAATCATGTTTGATTATAACGCTTAAGATTGCATGGGAAGTGAAAAAGGTTGAAAATTAAAAAGTCCAGATTGGGGTTAATATTGGAAATAAAAATTTTAAAAAGCTTCTCATCTAAAATAAAGGACAGAAAATAGTGCAAAGACAATATATAAAAAAAGGGCAGGCTAACATGAAACAAAAAACATCCACATCAAGTAGGAGTTTAGATGCAGCACTTTCACTACATTACTTGCTTTGTAAGCATTTACTGTAATTACCTCCACATCTGTTTCACTGTCAGTAAACTGGTATTGCTATAAAGTTATAAAAGACAATAACAGAATAAAGTGAAGATTACATAATGCTCATAGAAAACCACACACCCTAAATAAATGGATAATAATTTATACACTTTAATGTTAGAGACCTGAAGGTCAAAATTTAAGTTAAATTAAACCCTCTATTATAGTGTTTCTGAAACATTACAATGGTAAACATACTTGTGGAGATATTATTTTGTGAAAGATAAAGATGAAAAGGCACAAAGAAAACCATAAAGTCTTAATTTTGGCTTAAAACATGCAGTATAGATGTATAAAGTAATGAATGATTTATTTCTGTAAATGGAATAAAATGTTAATTTTTGGAGTTTGTAATGACTAGACAGATAATACATACAGACTTGAAACTTGCAAACCACAGTGAAGTACCAAAGATGCCACTAAGAATGTTTATGGAGGAAGAACTTACCGCTGCCTTAAGAAAGTAATAAAGACAAGACAGGAAGAAAAAAAAAAAAAGCAGAAAGTTTACTACAGAGGCAGACAGGAACCATGCTAAATATGACAAATTCATCAAATCATCATTTATAGACTACAAGAAGTTTATAAGATACAACTTTATAGTGTTAAAATTTTTAAATGGATTTGGAATAATCTGTAAGAATGAAGGAGAGGCTCACCTGTCCAAAGAAAGCCACCCGGAAGTAGGTCCCCAGGAGCCTGCGGCCTGAGTGCATGACCTCAGTCACTTTGCTATAGGCACGGTGCAGTGTGTCATATAGATGGGCTAGCCTCTGGAAAACAGAACAGAGCCCATTTCTTCCCACTGCAAATAGCATAATCATTTTACTGTAACATTTAATGTGATAATGTAGGTGAGAATTCCTTGAGCCTGAGTTTAAAAAAAAAAAATCAAGATTATATTTTGACCATATAAGTTGCCGTGATCATTTATGAACTGTAATGCTTCCTATTCAAAGGACAATCCATTCTATTTTGAAGATACTATGAAATGTCTGAGAAAGTCCCCTGAGGCCATTTTCAGTCTGCTTTTCCTACTCAATGGATATACTAAGAGCACTTGGTCAACCTCCCCAGCCTGGGAAGGACAGAAGGGCTACTATGTTCCTATGCAAGGAGATTATGGAAGAGTCCGAGGAAAAGGGTACCTGGTGATTACAAAACTCTGTTTGTGGCAACCTTTCAAAAGTAGAGTGCTGAGGTGGAAATCCTTATAGCTCAGGATGTGGGATTTTGCACAGAAGTGAGAGCCAGGTATGTTTTGATGCCTTATGATTCTTCAGAGGTGGTTATTGGTGATCACCTTCTGTATTACATGAAGGGTCAGAGGCCATTTCATCATCACTGAACCAAAGCCTGCTTGCTCTCTTTGCACAGAGTAGTTCTGGGGATATGTCACATCATTGTTCTCAAATAGAAAAAGACAAAAAGCCAGATACCTCAAAATCTCTGCGTTTCTCATAGATGGGGATGATGAGTTTATAGATGTCAGCAATCAGCTCATAGCGCTCTGCCTTCCAGAGTCCATCTGCACACTGCTCAAGGAGCTCCATCAACACGTCCTGATCAAAGAGAAAGGTCATCGGCCAGAGAAGAGGTTATGGAGAGCTGTAGTCCTTTGGAAGGGGTAACTGTTAAGACAGCTGAGGGAAATTTCAAAGCAGACACAGAATTTTCAAACACTATTTCCATGTTTGGGACAACTTATAATGTTCTCTTTAGGGAGCTGTTTTTCCAATCATGTTTATGTGCAAAAATGGGAAAGGGGTCACACTACATGACTGTGCAAAAGTAACCTGTATGGAAAAAATGACACTGATAGCTTCAGGTAGGCTCTCATTTTTCTGCTTAGTTATCTTTCTAAAAATATAATTTAGAAATTTCTTTTTCCTTTCTAAGGAAACAATGCCAATGCCAAGACATAGAGAGCTACTAAACATGGCTTTAACCCCAATTAAATATCTCAAAGGAACCCAGTGACGGAGTATGGTGGGTACTCACCAACATCCTGCCTCACCAACACCCTCTCCTCCCTCCCTTGGAAACTGTTTGCCATTAAAACTTGCATGGTCGCTCTTCCTTAGAGCCATGGACTTTAGAGGAAGGTAACACTACCCATGGCTCAAGAAATGGGACATGTGGCTCAAATGTACACTCATTAGCAGGAGCCTTCTATTTTCAAGTCACAGCAACTGCTTCATCATGGGTGGGCATGTGGCCTAAGCAGGCCAATTACAGTGAGTTTTAGGACCCCAGTTTGGAGTTCTACAACAAATGCTGCCACCAGAAAGAATACAAAAGGGCAGGATGGAGCCTGAGTGGAGCTAGCATTCATTTCATGGCCATGGAAATGGTCTGTCAATTTTAGTAACAGAGTAAAGAGCTTCTTTCTGCCTTGGCAAGGTAAATATCAATGCTAACTTTATTAGCTGAATGATGTCAATCTACCCACGGAATTTCCTAGTGGGATCCAATACTCAATTTTTACTGTTTAAACCCATTTGAGAAGGGTTTATAAAGGGGCTGGGGATTTGGCTCAGTGGTTCCACTGCCTACCTTGCAAGTGCAAGGGCCTGAGTTAGATCCCCAGTACCAAAAAAAAAAAAAAAGGTTTATAATTAATGTGAAATAAAATTTAATGTGCAAATCTACTATTTGAACAGCTTGGGTAATGTGTCTATTCAAATCTTTTGCTCTTTTTTATTGGGTTATTTTCTTATTGGATTTTGAGAGTTCTTCATATATTCTGCATAAAAATCATTTTCTAGTTATGCGATTTGTCTCTGATTTTTTTTCTTTTTTTTGGTACCAGATATCGAACTTGGGTCCTTGCGCTTGTGAGGCAGGTGGCGGAACCACTGAGCTACATCCCCGGCCCCTGTCTCTGAATTTTAATACTGCCTTTAAGAGTAGAAGTTTTAAAATTTTGATAAGCTCAGTTTGTCAAGTTTTTATTTTCTAGATTGTGTTTTATGGCACATCTAAGAAATGTTTAACCTGAAATTTCCTTCTATGTTTTCTTCCAAAAATTTTAGTTTTACATTTAGAACTACAATCCATTTTGAGTTACTTTTACATAATGTGCAAAGGTTTTTTTTCTTTGCACACATATGCCCAATTGTTTTAATACCATTTGATGAAATACTATCTTTTCTCTACTAAATTGGCTTTGAATATTTGTTAAAAACCAAGTGATCATATATGTGGGTCTACCTCAGCACTTTAAATTTTGTTTTATTAATACATATGTCTATCCTTGTGCCAAAACCACGCTGCTGTGCTTACTATCATAGCTTTATAGGAGAATTTCTCTGTGGTAACACTACTGATATTCTCAGCCAGATATCTTTTTGTAGGGGGCAGTCCTAAACACTGTAGGGTATTTAACAACATTCTTGGCTTCTACCCATTAGATGGCAACTGCAGTAACATCTTTCCCCTTACCCCAAAGTCATGACAATAAAAACATGTTTCCAGACACCAGGAAATATATGCTAGAATGAGGGGAGGTTATCTGTGCAAGTCATTCCCAAGTGAGAAACACTGCTGGGGCCAGGGATTTAGCTCAGTGACACTGCGCCTGCCTCACAAGCACAAGGTCCTGAGTTCGATCCCAGGTACCAAAACAAATACTGCTTTACAGTCTTGTAATAGGCATGAATCTTTCAAGCTTTTGGATATTCTGGTTCCTTTGTCTTTCCATATAAATGTTTGTGTCAGTTTGTCAATTTCCACCAAAACTCCATGCACGGACAGCTTTGAATCTATATATCAATTCAGGGAGAAAAGATTATCTTAACAATACTAAGTCTTCTACTCCATCAAATAATATCTTCTTTGCTTTCTTTCACTAGTGTTTTGTAGTTTTTAGCAAACATCTATACAGACTTGCTTTCATGTATTTTGATGCTAATGTAAATTTAACTTTTTACTTTTTAAAAAACTGGTTTGTGTGAATGAGAATGAAAGTCATTAGCATATTTACCTCCAGGAATTACATAAAATAATCTAATAATATAGCAAAATCCTGGAGTAAGAACCTCTAAATCTGAATAAGGCTGATTAATTTTTGTTATTAATCTTATTGTCTATGCTGCACCCCCCCCCGAAGGATTGAACTCAGGACCTTGCTCTTGTGAGGCCGGCAGAGTGCCACTGAGCTAAATCTCCAGCCCTCCTACGCTCTTGTTAAACTAACTTACTGGTTTATGGCTTCTTTTATAAATTCTTTGGGATTTTCTTTTGTCTCATGTGAATATAGACAGTTAAATTTCCTTTCTTATCTTATTGCACTGACTAGAACTTCCAACACATGTCAGATGTCACTGATGAAGGCATATTATCTTGTCTTGATCTGAATTTTAGGAGGAAAGCATTTAGTCTTTCACCATTTAGTATGACTCTGGTTGTAGTTTTAATGGTAGATAATCTTTTCTAGGTTTAGGAAATTCCTTTCTATTCTTTTTTTTTTTCCAAATAAAACATGGATGTTGAATCTTGTCAAATGGCCTTCTCTGCATTTATGAGATGGTCATACTATTTTTAAAAATGTATTCTGTAGATGTGATGAATTACATTGATTGGTTTTCCAATGTTGAATGAATCACACATTCCTGTAATGAGCCCTGTGTGGTCTCATTTCTCTTTTCATATACTGCTAGCTAGATCCTGTGTTAATATTTTGTTGAGTTTCACTGTTGCTTTCTAACATGGTTGTGCCCTTGTAAAACACAGCAAGCCTTGTGCTTTTAATTATTAGCCTAATATTTCATCACAGGCCTAATGTGTACAACTTAAAAGATCAAAGAAAACGAACATTTAAAAAGCAGCTATGAATCAATTTATCAGAAAATACTATCTACACAAGACCATTTAATCCCTATGTTGTCTTTATCACATAGAAATCATAAAACTGCCATTTGTGTGACTAAAATTGGCCCCAGTGCTTATAAAATGGTATGCCAGTTGTCTCATGCTTTATTGTAGGTCTCATTAAATCCAGATATACACAGGGCCAGGGATTTAGCTCAGTGGCACCATGCCTGCCTTGCAAGTGCAAGGTCCTAAATTCGATCCCTGGAACTGGGGAAAAAACCAAAACAAAACAGATGTACAAAGTAACTACATCTGCTATACACAAAGAAGAAATCAGAAAACTTTCTAACACCATCCCTTTTCCGGTGCATTTATATTACGAGGATGTATACTTTTCTTACTTTTGTTCCATTCTTCTCAAATGGACAATCACTAAAGACAAAAAATTTTTATCCTTTGTATACTCCTCTGATTATAAAAAGCTAGAAAGAAGGCAAAAAACTAAGAGTTGTACAATTTCAATGTCAGTATTCTTACTCTTCTATCTTTGTAAAATGTATGGAATGTTATTATAGGTCTAACCTTGATGTTTTAAGATCCATAAAGATGTGTGCATAAAAGTGCTCTGAAAACTATATTCTATATATTAATTCACAGGTCAATTAAATAAAAATCTTATTTCAATCATCACTTTCTACTTTGTACTAATTTTTAAAAACCTTACGTCTCCTGGGCTATATAATAACCCATGGTGCTATACACATACTGGGTAGTCAAGTATGTCTTGGGTGAAAAAAATCAACTTGCATTTTTCTTAGTAATAACAACATTATCAGGTAGTATTGCTAATATTAATAATCAGGCATATTGCTAAAAGGCATTTTTTTTTTTTTTTTTTTT